TCAGCCCTCCGAGTAGCCGGAATTACAGGCATGCTCTACCACGCCCAGCTGATTTTTAGATTTATTGTAGAGATGAGCTCTCGCCAAGTTGCCCAGGTGGGTCTCGAACCCGCGGCCTCAGGCAATCCACTCACCTCAGCCTCCCAAGGCGCGGGATTACAGGCTGAGCCACCGAGCCTGGCTCTTGAGGTCTTTTTCTTCTCATACAGGTCATGTCTTGCAAGTCTATGTTTGGGTTCATTTTTCTTTGCATAATCCAAGGAATCATAAATCATGCCAAAGCCAGTTGTCTTGCTACCACCAAAATGAGTTCTGAATCCAAATACAAAGATGACATCTGGTGTCGTCTTGTACATTTTGGCTAGTTTTTCCTGAATTTCTGTCTTAGGTACTGTTGCCTTCCTGGGGTGAAGGACATCGATGACCATTTGTTTCCATTGAAGCAGACGGTTGGTCATGAATTTTCTAGTCCGAATACTTACTGTGTCGTTCATGATGGCTGTCGATCCTCAGGCAGTCAGGGAGGAAAAGACGGCTCTTGCATTTTATAGGTGCACGATGTGTATAGTCTGTTTTTTGTAACATGGACACTCAGGTTGTTTCCACTCTTGCTACTACAAACACTGCTTTAAAAAAAATCTCCCTTTATATGTGTTATTTCACATGTGTGTCTGAAGAGCAGTTTCTAGAAGGGAAGTGGCAGGCATGTTAAAAGTGAAGGTTAAAGAGTTTTGTTTTGTTTTTGTTTTTTTGTTGAGTTGGAGTCTCACTCCGTCCTCCAGACTGGAGTGCAGTGGCCGCTCCCGGCCACCGCAGCCTCGACCTGCTGTGCTCCCGCAATCCTTCCGCTTCAGCCTTCCAAGTGGCTGGAACTATAGGCACGTCCTAACACACCCAGCTAATTTTTTTTTAATTTATTGTAGAGATGAAGTCTTACCAAGTTGCCCAGGCGGGTCTCGAACCCGCGGGCTCAGGCAATCCACTCACCTCAGCCTCCCAAGGCACGGGATTACAGGCTGAGCCACCGAGCCCAGCTAGGTTAAAGAGTTAAGGGTCATCTCGTTAGCGAGCACCAAGCTGCTCTTCAGAGATTCACCCATTTGACACTCTCCATCCACGAGGGTGCCTAACTCCCCAAATCCTGACCAGGACAAGGTGGCTTCCATCTGTCTGACCTCTTTTCAGGCTGACTGGGGAGAAGTAGTACTCCAGTCCAGTGTCCTGTCTTCCGTGAGTGGAGTTCGGCTCTTTCCTTTCTTGTGAACTGTTTGGTCATATCCTTTGCCCATTTATCTATTGGGTGATGGGTTTTGCAACTGATTTTTTTTAAAGTTCTATAAGTATTAATTATGTAACCATTTGTGATATGAATCACAAATATTTTACTTCCAACTTATTTTCCTTTCTTTTTTTTTGCCATGGAGGTATCTTTTATGTTTATGTGATTCAACCTTTTAGTGTTTCTTTCTTGGTTTCTGGGGTTTGTATCTGTGGAAGGGATTTTGAACAAGGAATGACAAGGTTCAGTATTTGGAAGTTAGAGCCCAAGGCCCAGGCGGGCTGATGTGAGGACAGTCCAATAGGGTGAGACGGGCTGGGAGACCCCAGGTTCTAGTTGAGTAGGTCAGACACCAGTGGAAGAGAAACAGTCTGGGATCTGAGCAGTGGTCGGAGAAGCCTAGGTGCCCTGGGGGTGCGGTGGGGGGAGAGGTGAGCAGTGGCCAGGAGGGAAGAGGAGCCACCCCAAAGAGTGCTGGAGGCGGGGTCCCGCCTCTGCACTCAAGGCTCCTGCTCTTGCCCCCCTCCCCAACCAGGAGGAGCTGGAGTTCTGTGAAAAGCTGCTACAGACCTGTTTCTCCAGCCCGACGGACGACAGCATGGACCGGTGAAGCCGGGTGCCTCCTCACCCCCTTTCCGTAGGAACCCTAGGTCTCCCGCCTCCCTCCCCGCCCACGAGGCCCTCTCCCAAGGGATCGCAGGGCCTTGTCGGGTCTAGACCCGGGGTGTGCCAGCCGTCTCTGCGCAGCTCCCTGGAGGGGGTGCCGAGCAAGGTAGCAGCTCCTCCGACCCCACCTGCCATGCTCACTCTCATCCCCTTCTCTTGTCCACACTGCTCTTCTAATAAAGGTGTTTCTCCCCTTCCTCTTCCTCCTTCACTGCTGCCTTTGTCGCCTCTGGAGGGTACATGGGGGAGGGAAGGAGGGGCACGAACTTGGGGGACTGGGGAGCCCCTGGAGGAATAATAAAAGTGCTGCTCTTTATCATCCACAGAGCCGTCGTGTCCTTTCATGTTCCCAGTCTTTCTTGAGCAGGAGCGCGAGGGACATCTGTGTTTTGGCGACCTGACATCCCCGAACTCCAAGTCTGAGGAATTCCCCCTCATTAGACATCCAACTCTCCCCAAGGGAGAAGCCACTTTCTTTCCCAGCGTCCTTTGCAGTAGGGTAGCCGTGTGACCTCGGCTCCACCAATCAGGAGCCTCCGTGGGATCTGGCCCCTCTGCCAATCAGAGCCCGCTGGGGTGGCACCCCACCAATCAGAACCCACCCGTGGTCACACCGACCTAGCTGGGTGGCGACCCTGCCCAGGGTCCCAGCCGGTTAGGGTGGGAGCGGGTGAGTAGAGGTCTGGTGGCCCGTCTGAGCCGGCCCGTGACAGAGGCAGCGCTGTGTCCCGGGAGCAGGCCCGTGGGTGGGTGTGGGTTTCATCTCCGAGGACACAGGGCCAAGCGCGTTCTCGTGAGATTTGCGGGGTGTTCGAGGGGCTGCTCCACCTCCGTTCATATGGTCCTTCTCTGTTTGGCTGAAGGACATTTGTCACTTGCAGCCAAGAGCTCTGGCTGATGCCGCTTTTCAAGAGAGGAAGCTGAGATCGGATGGTCAATCCGCTGGCCTGGTTCGCACAGCCAGGATGCAAACCTGGGCGAATTCCTCTTCTTCCTGTCCGGGTTTCCTAGCCCTGTTTGACACCAGACTCATACCTCTTGTGCGGCTCGTACCTGTACATCTGGGGTTTTTGAGTCGATTTGGGTTTTGAGTCGATTAGGAAGCACCCTTCTTCCTAAATTCAGGCTAAACTGAGAGGTAGCTGTGGGATCTGAACTGGAGAGTAAAAAAAAAATCACCTGGGCTGGGGGCGGTGGCTCACGCCTATAATCCCAGCACTGTGGGAGGCCGAGGTGAGAGGATTGCCTGAACCCACGGGTTCGAGACCAGCCTGGGCAACTTGGCGAGACCTCATCTCTACAATCAATCAAAAAATTAGCTGGGCATGTTGGCCCATGCCTGTGGTTCCAGCTACTTGGTAGGCTGAAGTGGAAGGATCGATGAGTCCAGCAGTTCGAGGCTGTGGTGGCCGTGAGTGTGCCACTGCCCTCCAGCCTGGGCAACAGAGTGAGACTCCGACTCAAAAAAAAAAAAAAATCACCTTTATCATAATCACCTGTTACAGCTGACAGAGAACGTGGTTGCGTTCTTGCTACTGCTTCACCAGCATTTGACACCTTGCCTGTTCCCCAGCTGTGGGTGAGCCAGGTCTTCTCTTGGGTGGAGGGAGCAGGCCAGAGCACAGGCATGCTGTGGGCAAGCAGGCCCCAAGGACAGGGAGTGCTGAAGAACTGCACTCTAGTGGCCATCCAACCAGGTAAAGTGTCCTCAGCCCCGGAAGTGGAGAGGCCAGGAGAGAGATACCAATTACGAGTTGCTTCCGGTGGAAACGTGAGCAATGGGGAATGAGTGTTGTCACCATACACCTGAAGAAGTTCCAGTTCTGATGCAGACAATGGTGTCTATCTATGCTGCTGACAGCCGCCATCCAGACTCCGAAAGCCCCTGCAGCTTCTTGCTTTCTCAGGTTCCCTTTGGTGATTGAATATGGCACGTCTCTACCCCTCGGTTCCTGAACCTCCGTGTTAAAAGTGTAGCAACTCTACCACTATGTTGTGGGGAAAAACAAGGAAGCCAAATGTTGGGCAAAGACGAAAGATCCCTACGGAAGAAAAGGCAGAGGAAACACCTCTCTGGGATGGTTCATTTTGGGTGTCAGCTGGGCAAAGGGATGCCCAGATCGGTGGGACAAGACTTTCTGAGTGCGTCTATGAGGGCATTTACTGGAAGAGATGATCATTTGAGTCAAGATACTGAGCAAAGATGATCTTCTCTCCACCAACGTGGGCAGACATTGTCTAATCCACTGAGGGTCAGAATAGAGCAAAAAAGGTGGAGGAGGGGTGCTTTACTCTATTTACTCTCTCTTCTGAGCAAGGATATCATCTTCCAGCCTCAGACATCAGGGCTCTTGATTCTTGGTCCTTTGGGCTCAAGTTGACACGGCTGCCCTTTGGGCCTGAACAGGAACTAGGCTTCTATTTTGCAGACAGCAGCTCGTAGACTTTCGGCCTTCGTAATCACATGAGCTAGTCCCTCACAATACATCTTTTTATATATCTACATGTATCTTTTTTTTTTGAGTTGGACTCTCACTCTGTCACCCAGACTGGAGTGCAGTGGCTG